GAGTCCGAAGGGACTTTATGGAGATACTGCACATGTGGGATGACATGTGCAGCTATGTGCAGGTCTGTATGTGTGCTACACACACCACACACACTACACCCCACATGCCACCACACACACACTTTACACCCCACACACACTACACCCCCATATGCCACACCACACAGCTCATGTGGCAGAAGAGAAGGCTGAGATGCTGGGGAGGCACTGCCTGTGCTTCAAAATCTGCTTCCTGGAATTGCCATGTACCCAGAATTTGGGGGGACGGAGACCACGTGAATCAGAGCAGACATGGTAAGGAGTAGAGTGGAGACTAACTGTGAGACCAACGCAAGGTGGAGAAGGAGATAGTGCATTTCTCAGGGGCTTGAGCTTGCCCTCTGCCCTCCCGTTTGGCTCCTGGCCCTTCTGGATATTTCGCGAGCAGCCCAGGGGCTGTGCTGACCAGTGTTCTGACGTGGAGACGCAGCGTCCCCGCAGGCGAGTGGGGCCACTGCTGTGGCCCGCCGAGGAGCAGCCCTGCTGGAGACCCTCCCTGCGACCTGCTGCATGGCCCAGCTCCTCTGCTGTGTGAGTCCATCTCCTCGGAGCCAGCACAGCAGGTGGAGGCTCATGGCCAGAGTCTTTGGGTGCTATTGGGGGCATCAGAATCACACCCACAGCACCCTGGACAGAGTCCTGAGCAAGGCTGGCCTTTGGGGTTACTCTGGGGCTCTGAGCTTGACTTGTGAAATGTGGGGAGGGGGAGGGGAAGTCACCCAGGTGTCACTTGGTGGGGACAAGCAGGAAGTGGATCCATGGGCAGGCCCTGCCCGGCCCCTCAGGTGGCCAGGACGTCGTGACGTGCATCCTCCCTGGCTGGCCATTGGTCATGAGGTCCTCCTGGGTCACACTGAGCCTGGCTCTGCCCCTGCCATGGCTTGCCCTTCTCGGGGAGCAGGGGTCTGTCAGGAGCTGCCGTGGCATCACACTTGCTCCAAGGAAAGCACGAGCATTAGCACAGGACCTTGTCAGTTAATTGTGAGTGGCGTGATGTTGGGTTTGGGGCCAGCTGCTGCGGAGCATCGTGTGGAGAGGGGTGCGGCTCGTGGGCCTCAGGCCAGCCCTCCCTCAAACTGCCCCACTCCAGCAGCCCCAGCCCACGAGTGCGGTTTGCTCTGTCTCAGATCAGAAACGCTTCAAAGCTTAAGCTTGTTTGGCCACCCCGTGACCCGCACCACTTCCCCAGGATGGAGGAAGTAGATTGTCAGAATCCAAGAACTCGAGGTGGGAAGGAAAAGGACTTGGCTGCGTTCTCCACTTCCCTTGCTTCCCTCAGCTGAAGGCTGGCGCCCTCGCTGCTCTGCCACCGATGCCAGAGGAGCAGACTATCCTCAGGGGGCTGAGGCCCGGCATCTCAAGGGCACGGCCTGGGAAGCATGTTGTGACTGAGCTGCCCTTCCCTGTCCTGATGGGGTGACCACCGGGGTTGAGACAGAGGGAGGTTGGCAGTCACGTGGGAGGCAGCTGGCTTGCAGTCAGGGTGGGGCTGGTATGGAGGTGGGCAGTGGCAAAGCAGGAGCCCCCATCTCCCCATTCTCATCTGGCCCATTCGGGGGTACCTGTGGCCACCTGGGCCTAAGGTGTGCCTGCTGAGCCAATGCCCCGAGAGTCTCGGGCCACCCCGTGTGTGGCCCGGGCATCCCTCTTCAGTCATCAGCTGCTCTTTGGGGGGCCCTTCAGGGGGCCCCATCTTCTGGCCCACCCCCACATGACCTTTAGAGTGCTCAGGGCATCTGCCTTGTGGGGCTCCCCAGCCTCAGGCCATTCACTGCTTTTGGTGGCATCTGACAGTCGGAGGGGTGGGGAGGGCAGGGTGTGGGTGGGTGTGGGGGGGTCTGCGGGCCCGGGAGAGGTCAGGGTATTGTCTTGGGTGTCTGACAGCAGGGATCTCTACACGTGTTTTGGAGAGTATCACTGTCTCAACTTGCTCCTGTGCCCTTGTACCAATTCTGCCTGGATGGTGAGACCTTAGCCAAGGGCCTTGTCCCTGTGTGCATGCCAGAGACACCACATGCCCCCTGTGGGGATGCAGAATCGAAGCACACACTTCTCTCCTCCCAGACCCCTTGGGACCTCTCCCCTACCCCTGCGACAGGACTCTTCTGGAGTGGAGAGAATTCACTCTAGAACACAAGGGATGTGTGCTCTGCTGATGCCACATCACTCGTCATCACGACCCTGGCCCTTACTCCTGTGTCAGGCAAGCCCCAGTGTGGAGGTGGGCATGGCCTCAGCCTCCCTGGCCACCTTCTGGCCCCAGGTATTCACGGGACAAGCACAGCAAGTACATCTGCTGTGCCCACTCCCCCCAACCCCGAGGCTGAGTGGGGCCCTTGGGGCTGGCACCGCACTTCGTTGTATCGTGATAATGCTGGTTTAAAACACCGTGCATGGCTGAGCGGTGTGTAGGTCACACCCGCCTGCGCCCCACAGTGAGAGGTGGAGTGAGAGGTGGAGCGGGCAGTGGACACTAGCCCACCCGGCGCTGTCCGCGGTGCTGAAAGCCACCCACAGAGTTGCCCTGACTCTCCCCATTGCGGGTTTCCTGCCAACAACCTTCGCCCAATCTGTCTTCTCAATCACCTCACCTGCACCTGTTGTTCCTCCCTAAGCTGGGTGCTGGGGTGTCTGCCTTGGGTTGGGGTGTTGGCTCTGGTCCCGGGAAGCCATACTCACAGTGTGCATAGCGGGCCAAGAGGATGAGGACCTGGCCTGGGTCCTGTCGGCACCGGCTGGGCTTGCCACGTGGACTTGCCCAGGATGCGTCGCCACATGCCTGCCCGAGCCCCGGCCCCGAGTCCAGCTGTGACACGCAGGCCCCTGTCCTCTGCGAGGACCACCACGGGCAGCCAAGAGGCCTGACTCCCAGTTGTCATGGGCTTGTGGAGGAGAGGAGATGGCAGAGGAGGGACCTGAAGAGAAAGAGGAAGCGAGCACAGGGGGCCGGAGGGGTGAGGAGGGAGAAGAGAGGCCGGGAGCATACAGGAGGGCCCGGAGGGGCGAGAGGCGGTGCCAGGAGAGAAGCCTGCGAGACCATGGTGAGAGAGGTGAGGGGGCGGGAGAGACCAGAGAGACTGTGGTGGGAGAGGTGAGGGGGTGGGAAGGGAGAGGTGGAGGGGGAGTGGAGGGGGAGGTGGGCGGAGTGGAGAGGAAGGGATGATGGGGAGAGAGCAGGGGTGAGGACAGGCGCAGGAGGAGAGTGGGGGGAGGGGGACAGGGAGGAGAAACATGGAGGAAGAGACAGAGAGAAGGAAAGGGCAAGTGCCGCGGGGCGCGGGGAAGCTGAGAAGTGAAGAGGCTAGGGAGAGGAGGGGTAGGAGAGGAGGGAAGAGGAGAAAAGAGAAACTGAGAGAAACATGGAGAGAACCAGAAGGCGAAGTGAGGGAAGTTAGAGGAGGGGGTGGGGAGACAGGCAGAGAAGAGACAAGCAAGGAGGAGAGAGGAGCTGAGGGAGAGGAGGAGGGGGGAGGGAGAGGGAGAGAAAGAGGACGGGGAGTGGCGAGGAGAAGAGGAAAGAGCCACCAGGAGAAGAGACGTGCTCAATGGGAGAAGAGGAGGGTGGGGGGGCGGATGCAGGGAGGAGGAAGAGGAGGAAGGGGAGGAGGGAGAGGAAGGGGAAGGGGAAGAGGAGGGTGCAGGGCGGAGGGGGAGAGGAAGGGAAGGGGGGAGAGGAGGGGGAGAGGAAGGGGAGAAGGGAAAGGCGGAGGGAGAAGTGGAGGAGCAAAGCAAGGACCCAGGGGGCAGGAAGGGACAGGACAGTGACCTTCCTAGGACTTGGCTCTGCTGAGGCCATACTGGGCAGGCTGAGCCGGGGTCCCTTTGCAGCTGGTCCCATGTGTCCCTGTCCCCACTGGCCCAGGGCATCTCCCAGCCAGAGAAGGAGCGGAGGGCTCGGACGAGGCATGGGGCAGCCTGGAACGGATGTGACACCTGGAATTGGGGGTGCAGATGCCCCGGGGACCCTGGCCTCCCCACACAGTGCTCAGCCGTCTGTGGACACAGCAGTGGCCACTGCCCTCAGACCCGTAGCTCTCACAGCTGAGGGGACAGGAGGAGACATCCCCTCGCTGGACTCCAAGGACATGCCTTCTGCATGGCGTTGGCGTGGTGGTGTCCGTGCCTTCCCTCCACGGTAGGAAAAGGGAACTGGAGCAGTTTCCATTTGTGCAAGTGCCCCCGGCACACACCCACCACGTAAACGCCACTTTCTCCTCACACCCTCAGCTACCGCTCAGCCTTCGTGACGTGAGTTACAGTGTCCCCGCATGTCTCCTTCGTTGGCGTCACGCCGTGGTATGTGGCGCTTACGAGCTTGGTGAGTTTATATACGTCCACAGTTTAGGGATCCCAAGTTAGTTAGAAAAGGCTTCTGGGATCTTCATGCTCCGTCTGGGGGACCAGGCAGTCAGTCTCCTGAAAACCCGGTGAAGACACATGAGAGACTTTCCAGGAGGACAGACGCCCTCATGAGCAGACGTGGGGACGGGGATACAGCAGGTAGGGCAGGTGGGAGCAGCTCTGGCAGTGCCGAAGGGCTGATGAGCCCCTTTCCTTTCCCTGCACAACCCAAGGACAGCTCTGACCTGCAGCACGGGGTAGGGGGTAGGCACTGAGAGATGGGGTGGCTCACAACTGGGTCTGCTCCCTGCCCTGCCGGGGCAGCCTGGACCCTGGACACACGCAGGGAAAAGTGCCTGGAGCAGACCCAGGACAGCCAGGCCCTGCTGTGACATGGGGTGCCTGACCTGGGGACCCCAGAGTGCTGTCCTCTTGCCTCGGGCTCTGCTCAGCTCCCCTGAGAGGGGCATGCCCAGAGCCCGCACCTTGTCCCACATGTGGGCACCATCCGGCCTGAATCCACGTGGCTCGGGGGCTGGGCACCCCCCACCTGTCATCAGTGGACACACGTCCCCCTGATGGTGGGCCCCTGCTGACCGCATGTTCCTCTGTCCCCCCAGATCGTATTCCGGAAGATCAGTGACGTGAAGCGCGAGGAAGAGGAGCGCATGAAGCGCAAGAACGAGGCCCCCCTCATCCTGCCCCCCGACCACCCCGTCCGCCGCCTCTTCCAACGTTTCCGGCAGCAGAAGGAGGCCCGGCTCGCTGCTGAGAGGGGGGGCCATGACCCGGACGCCCTGGACGTGGAGAAGGGCGGTGCTGGCCCTGAACACCCAGCATCCGGCCACGGCCCATTCAAGGCCAGCGTGGTCACCGTGCGGGAAAGCCCTGCCACACCTGTGGCCTTCCCGGGGGCAGCGGCTGCCGCAGGGGTGGCGGACCAGGCACGTCTGCAGGCACCTGGCGGCGAAGGTGTGGGCCCCAGGGCAGGGGGTGATGGCAGCAGGCGCCGGGGCTGGGCCCGCTTTCGGGATGCCTGCGGGAAGGCAGAGGACTGGAATAAGGTCTCCAAGGCTGAGTCCATGGAGACGTTGCCCGAGAGGACCAAGGCAGCCGGTGAGGCCACGCTCAAGAAGACCGACTCATGCGACAGTGGCATCACCAAGAGCGACCTGCGGCTGGACAATGTGGGTGAGGCCCGCAGCCCACAGGACCGCAGCCCGGTGCTGGCCGAGGCCAGGCGCCCCTTCTGCCCCATCCCCGAGCAGGCACTGCAGGCCGCCGTGCTGGAGGTGCGACACGAGCTCAAGGAGGACATGAAGGCCCTGGGCACCCGCATGGCCCACATTGAACGGCAGCTGGCCGAGGTGCTGCGGCTGCTCTCTGCCCGGCGGCCCGCCCAGTCGCCCCAGGAGCTATATGAGCTCTCGGGGCCCCAGTCCCCTGAGTCTGAGAGGGACCTTTTCGGAGCAGGCTGAGCACGCTGGTCCAGAGGAGCTTCCTGGACACCCCAGCCTGGCCGGACGCTCCCCAGCCTGGCCCCCCGACCCGGCCTGCAGACTTGGAGGGGCTCCCCGCTGAAGCAGCTCTAGGAGGTGGGGCATGTGTGCCCAGTGGGCCTTGTGGGGGTGCGCCCTGGGGCCAAAGGGCATTTCCCCTCATTTGTAGTTTTTTTAACTGCAGTGATCACTGCGAAGGTGGGAGACTCCCAGGAAAGCACCACAGCCGGGAGGCGGGCGGGGGGGGGGGGCCTGCGCCAGGACCCTGCGCCACTCCCCACCACCGCCCCCACCCCTTCCACCCCTCCACTCCCTGACACCCCCCACCCCATGCCGCCGCTGCTCTGTCATGGAGCTGGCAGCAGGAGGCCGGGAGTGCGGAGCCTTGTCCGAGGACAGTGGCCCAGGAGTAGCTGCGGGCTCCCTCCCGGCACTGACGAGCCGCTTGCGAGGCACCTGGGCCGTGCTCTGCTCTGGGTGGCGCCCAGCGGCCCTGGCTGCATCGCCTCTGGGCCCCTCCTCGGGGCAGGGACACGGGCAGCCAGGTGGCGGCCAAGATGTGTTGCCACACAGCTACCCACAGCCACCCTGGGTAGTATGCGTTTGGTCCACAGTGCGGTGCCCGGCGGGGCGGGGGCCTCGTTCCACTTCATTCTGAAGTCACCCTCTCCCACCTGAAGCCAGCAGGACTGCAGAGAGGCAGTGGGGCGGCCTAGCCTTCTGGGCCAGAGGGTGGTGGAGGGCAGCAGGGCCTCCAGCTGTGTCTAGACAGTGGCACAAAGTCGCAGGAGCAGCGGCCAACCCACCCCACCCACGCTGCCCGGGAGCCGAGGCCTCCTTGGTCTGACAGGGAAGAGGGCCTGGCCAAGGGGTGTGTTCAGGGGCGGCGGGGGCAGGGCTGGGAGTGCCCACCTCAGTATCTGTGCTGGCCTGCGGCAGCCCCACCCGAGCCCTTGGGCCAGCTGTGCAGAGGCTCTGGACCTCAGGCCGGTCCTCTCGGTGCTGAAGGGACCTCGCAGCCGGGCCTGCGCAAGCCAGAGTGGGAGCACCTCTGGAAGCCCCCTCAGTCCTGCTCAGTGGTCATGGCCTGGCCTGGACCTGGCCTCAGCTGTGGGCACCACCCTTCCAAGGGCCCTGAGGCTTCTCGCCTGAGGCTGGTGGGTGAATTGACGCCAAGGCTGAGAGGTCAGACATCTGTTAACAGCAAAGAGCCGGCAGTGAGGCTCCCCCTGAGGAATCCCACGCGCCCTGGAAAGCCAGTAGGACTCGGGGTTGCAGGCCACCACTCCTGGGATGAGGCGGGAGCCGCCTGGGGTCTGAGGCTGAATGGACCCCAGAGTCAACATCCAGCCTCAGTGTCCTGGGCCCTAGGGCCGTGTCCCCATCCACACCAGGGGCAGATGCTGAGGAGTGAGGCTTGCGTTGAGGGTGGCAAGCTTCAAGAATGTTCTCCAGGGTGGATCTTCGGAGCCAGAGTGGGCGCCTGCAGCCACAGGGCCCCCCACCTCACCTGGGGTCTCCTTCATCACTAAAGATCACAGGGGGTTTTGAGCCGAACCTCTTCTCTCCTGTGACCTGACACCCCCCCCCCACCATGCCAACCACGAGCACCCAAACCCCCACCAGATGGTGGCGAGGTCAGCAGGGGTCACCCACAGCCCTCAGAAGAGGCAGGCTGAGAAGGACAGATCTGCCCAAGTGACCTCTTTGGAAGGGGTGCTGGCAGGGGCTACCCTGAGCTCTCCAGGCCTTTGGCACACTCACTGCTCCCTGGCATCGCCTCATGCCAACGTCACGGGGTGGGGGGTCAGGCCCATTCCCAGGGGGTGGGAGGTGCTGCTGCCCTCTCCGTGGAGGGGAGACCGGTAAGGGCCTGGCAGCTGCCTCCCACCAGGGTGCAGAGCAGATGTCTGGGGGTGGGGTTGAGAAAAGCCCTGGTCTCCTGTAGTGGGATGGCAGCCCCCCCCAGCACCCTTGCAGCCCTCAGGCCAGGGACCCCCCCCAGCACCCCATCCCACCCTCTCAGGCCAGCACCCTTATGGTCCCCACAGCACCCCCGGCCCTCTCAGATTGGGCCCCCACAGCACCCCATGCCACCTTCTGAGACTCTGGCTTTCACGCCAGCCCCAGGACCCCCGTGCCCCAGGGTGGTGCTGCCAGCAGCCAGCAGGCTGGAGCAGCTCTGGGCTGGATGCCCCATACCTGTAAGGCACAGCTATCCTGTTCCTGCTTCCCGGTCCTGGCCGGTGTGTCCTCCATCACAAGCTTCTGCGCTATCGCTGACCAAACCCCGCTGCAAGCCACCCTCCACACCGCCTCCCGGATGCCCAGGTGGAGAGGGGCTGCAGGACCAGCTGCCCCCTGTGGGGGGCGCACACCCCTGGGGAGGCTGCCTCACCCTCCATGTCCACCATGTGGCACCCGCACCCCTGGGGCGTGCTCAGATGGGACATGAGTTGCTGGTGCACTTGATGCCCAGATTGCTTTGCAATAATGTTTAGCCTTAAGGTCCTTGAGTGGTGGCCCCGCCCGTCCCCGCCAGACCCCTCCTGACCTGGGGTGGGCAGGGTCCGGCACTGTCCCCTACGCCCTCCATCATGCCACCTTTGCACTGCCTTCTCGCTTGCTCCTGTGACCTTCACCAGTTCCGTGCCCTCCGCGAGGGTGGCCTCGCTGCCCAGTGTCCAGGGTAGCCCCTGACCGGGCACCACTTCTCAGCCGTCCCTGTGGAGAAAGAAGCTCCTCCCTGGCTCTGGAAGGTACATGTGCATTTGCCGTGACGCGGCATCGAGACCGCAAGAGCTGGACCCAGCCTGAGCCACGCGCCCCCCTGCCGCTGTTCAGCCCCCAGGGCCATGTCCCTGACGTGAGCGGTCACTCAGTGAGGGTCACCCAGCGAGGGCCTCCACCTTGTTTCAGGACGGAACTACCTGTGTGAGACACCGTGGCCGGGACCGCGCCCGGCAAGGCAGAGCAGCTGCCCACACTGGGGCGGGGCGTGGGGCTGTCTCCCGGCCCTGCCTGGGGTGCCCGCGATGCTGCAGGACCCCGGGGGGCACAGAGCCTGGGGGCATCACCCGGAGTGGGTGGCCCCACAACGACACTCCCTTCTCGCCATTTTTAAACAAGCACAAATGATATTTGTAAAAAGAAATTATTTATTACATAATAAACTATTTTATACAGGATACTCGCGCTTGCCTATCCTTGCCAAGGTCACATGTGCGACCCGGGCAAGCCCTGATACTGGAGAACTTGAAATTCTTGATGGACATCAAGATGTCCATCCCAAGTGCCCCATAAGCAGCGTGGCTGGGCCGGGGGTGGGGGGTGGGGTTGCAGAGTAGGGGGAGAGATGGGGCGGGGGCCTTCCCAGTGCTCTAGGGCGCAGCACCCTGTCTACTCAGAGGGGTGGCGCGCCCCTGGCAGGCAGGACACCGATTCGGCCGCTCACAAGTGGACTTCACATTTGACCATTCTGGATGGAGGCCCTGAGACACCGCCCCACACCCCTGGCATGGCCTGAGAAGGAAAACTCCCGCTGATTGCTAACCGCCTTACTGCCCTGCCTCAGTCCACACCGGTGGTCCCAGCACTACCGGGAGGGGTCTGCTGGCCGGAGGCTGCCAGCACCACACCCCAGGACGGCTGCGTCCACGTGGTTTTGAGGCTGGTTTCTCATCTGCACAGGCTCCCTGCAAGCGCTCAATGCATGGCCACATTTCTGACATGGCCCTTAACCCAGGGACAGGCCGTGGAGTTGCAAGCCAGTGTAGGCTGCGTTGGGCCTCCGATCTCACCCACTGCCCCCCACCCCTTTACCTTTTAGAAAATAATTTAGGGTGAACTTTTTTAAAATTCCAAATGACAGAAGAGCATTTCAAAGGCACTAAACATTCCACTCTTTAGATGACTTCAGTGACGGGGGAATTCTCAGCCAGTATGACGTTGACGATGGTCAGAGCAGAGTGGACACTGCGTCCTAGGTGCTCAATGGGTTCCAGCCTGGCGTTGGAAGAAAGCCCTTTCCAGACACAGGGCTGAGCTCTCGGGAGCCAGAGCTGCCCGCTCCCACAGGGCCCCGCCTGGCTCTGTGCCAGACACTGGCTGGAAACAGCCGTCGGGGATGGCTATTTCTGCAGCAGTGGACAGCGCAGTGAGTGACCTCGGTCCCCGAGCTGAGCAATGCCTGCTGACAGGCCCTGTAGCTGCAAGTGGCTGGCGTGGTTCTAGGTCTGTAGACTGAGTAAAAATAGGTTTTTTGCCTCACTTCAAATTAGCCTAAGGAACAAAATACCAGTTCAACTTCTTGCATGACCCTAAGAATTAGTGAAAATGACCAGCCCTGCATGTCCTTCGCACGGCCCAAGGTCAGGTTCAGAGCCCCGGGACTGGGGCATCAGAGGACCCTGGGCTGGGAGTGGCCTCAGGGTGTCCAGCCCTCGCCGGCCAGGCTCGTGCCTGCAGTGATGGGTCAGGCTCTGGGCAGGGCCTGCTCAGAGGAACCCTGCCCCAAGGCTGTCTGCTACCGGAGACAGTGGCCACATCCACATCACAATGGACAACAGCAGGAGGCCAAGTGTGAGGGAGCTTGACTCCCGCTGGCCCCCACCTCACTGGCTGACCGCAGATGCCATAGCAGACACGGACATCACTGACCCAGTGCAGGATGCGTGGCTGGTGGACACGGCGGCTCCTTGACACTGAGGCTGGGGGAAGCCTGTACTCTGGACAGTGACACTGCAGTGGTCAGGGCTTTGCTGTCCCTTTTCTGACACAGCCCTGAGTCCACCCAAGCACGGCTGGCCAGCCTCCGTCCCCCCACCAAAATGCCCCAGCACTGAGAGTCGCCTCCCCGTCTCCAAATCCTGCTCAGCCAGCTGCCGACGCCACTACTGCCCACTGCCCGCCCGCGTGTCCACCCCTTCCAGCAGAGGCCAGGGGCAAGACTGAGGTCAGCCTAGTGACTGGCCTTGTGC